CTGACCCACCTCTGTTTAACCAGCTCTTGCCAGCAGCAGATTCCCTGGGGGGTGGTTCCTGGGTAGCTCCCCTTGACCCTCAGGTTCCAAACTGGGGCTGCACCAGTACTGGGTGTGGTGGGAGGGCTTTGGTTTCTGGAAGCATCCTTGGAGGGGTCTGTCAGAGGCCTTTCCATCTGCTCCTAAATTTTTTCCCTTAAAAGCCAGCAAGTGGCTTTTCCACATTGAGATGAGCCCTTTTGGGGTGAAAAACCCCTTTGTGTTCCAATATTTACTGTACATGCCAGAAGGTACAAACCCAGCTTGGGGAATGTGTTGCTCTGAGGGAAGAGCCTGGGATGAGCATTCCTTGTGTTCCTTGGAAAATGGGAATTCCTGTCAGGATAGCAACAGCCTGTGCTGCAGGGTTTGGCTATTTCACTGCAGCCATTGCAAAGCATCCCAGAAAGGACTGGGCTGGAAGGGACCTTAAATCCCACCCAGTGCCACCCCTGCCATGGCAGGGACACCTTCCACTGTCCCAGGCTGCTCCAGCCTGGCCTTGGGCACTGCCAGGGATGCAGGGGCAGCCCCAGCTGCTCTGGGAAATCCATTCCAGGGCCTGCCCACCCTGCCAGGGAACAATTCCTCATTCCCAATATCCCACCCAGCCCTGCCCTCTGCCACTGGGAAGCCATTCCCTGTGTCCTGTCCCTCCGTGCCTTGTCCCCAGTCCCTCTCCAGCTCTCCTGGAGCCCCTTTAGGCCCTGCAAGGGGCTCTGAGCTCTCCCTGGAGCCTTCTCCTGTCCAGGTGAGCAGCCCCAGCTGTGCCAGCCTTTCCTCCCAGCAGAGCTGCTCCATCCCTCTGCCCATCCTGGTGCCTGCCCTGGGCTCTCTGCAGCAGCTCCAGGTCCCTCCTGTGCTGGCCCCAGGGCTGGGGCAGCTCTGCAGGTGGGGTCTCACCTGAGCCCAGGGGCAGAATCCCCCTCTCTTAAGCTCCTCACCCTGCTGGGGATGCATTTCAGAGGTTTTATCTCCCATCTGTTACAAACCAGTATTTTTATTTATCTCCTGCCTTTGTGCCACTGGATGTTCATAGCAGGATTTGAATTTCAGCGTTTTATGGCCTCTGCAAACCTTTAACACAAGGCTTTCCACAGCTCAGCATGGCTTCTATGCATAGCCCAGCCAGTTTTTGCTGGGACAAAAACCTAAATTTCTTTGGCTTGTTGGGGATGCTGGTGGCTGGCTCTGGTTGGGCTGGGGGAGCAGAGCACCCCAGTACAGCACTGGGAGGGGTGGATGGGCACTGGGAGGGGTGGATGGACACCCCCTGTGTGCTCTGCTCCTGAGAGACAGCACAAGCAGGTTTTTATGCATTAAGTGTATTTGTAGACAACCTGTTAAGGTTCTTTTTGCATGACTTCTGCAAATTCGAATGCAATTAGCTTCTTCCTCCTGTTGCCTTATTAATTACTGTGATGGACCTAAAGTGATTTGGGACAGGATGTATCACAGAGGATTGTGCCCTCTTTTTAAACTCTTCATCAAGTCTCCAGCACATTTGGTCATTAATCTTGCAGGAAAACAGGGATGGCTTGGTGCCAGGCTTGCTCTGGAGAGGAAAGATGGCAATAACTGCTTTTTACTCTGAGTGACCCTCTGAAGGCAGGGACATCCACTCCAGTGCTAAGTAAATATTCATGGAAATTCTCCTCCTTCAGACAAACTCATTTAGAAACAGTCCTGCTGCCTTACAAATATTGTAGGTTATTTTGTTTGTGCCTTGTTCCTATTAGAAACCTGAACCAGAAAGCACAGAAGAAATGCTGTTGGAAAATAAGAGGTAATGGAACAGCTGTATCTTGTTTAAAGCACTTAGTTGCCGTGGCAGGAGTGTGATTTTTAACCATTTCAAATACTTTGTATTCTGTATTATACTGGGTAGATTCCTGTATTCACATGTGTGGGATAGCTGCTGTTTTGAAATAATGGTGATGATTAAGGAATGGCGTGGTTTGGAGAAGCATTTGTTATTTGAATAATTTATTATAAATTTTTATTTGAATAATTGGGAACTAGGAGTTGATTCATGTGTTTCTGGGCTGGTGACAAGGTGGGGATTGGGCACAGGCTGGACTTGATGGTCTGGCAGGGCTTTTCCCACCTGGGATTGGACATGAGAATAAACACAATTAAAAAAAGCCTGTTTATTTGAAATTGGTCCTGTGAATTACAGGGAAAGAAAAGATAATAATAATAATAATAAAATAACGTGGAAGTTGCTGAAAGCCTGGCATGTGTGAGTGTGTGGGACTGGCAAGTCACAGTGCATGAATAATTTTTCTGAATTATTAGGAGTGATGAAGATTCTCTCACAGAGAACAATAGAGGAGCTCTGCTTGTATCTCTGACGTTGTATTTTTAGGACCAACTCATTTTCAAGTGTGTCAAACTCTGCTTTTTTTTTGTTACTCTGTTCTAAAAGATGGATGGAATATTTCCTGCTGGAAGGGTTTGGAGCTCCCAAACACTGCAGGGTGGTTTGGTCTGTGGTGGGAAGGGTGGAAGGAGATGATTTTTAAGGTTTTTTCCAACCCAAAGCATTCTGGGGTTTTATGGAATACTCTCATAAATAAGCAGCTGCCTTGCAAGGTGGTTTTGCTCCTCCAGCCAGCCCTGTTTAAGGGCAGCTGGAGCTGCTTTTCTCACAGGCTTTGTAGTCCAAGTCTCATCTTAACCAATTATCCCTACTAATAAAGCCCATTTTGCTCACATTCAAGCATGACTGAGTTATTATTCAGCCCTTTCCTTGTGGGTATTTAATTTTAGGATGCTCAGATGTAGCTGTGTTTCATTGATGGCCCAGCCAACGTGTTTTCCTTTATGATGATGTATTTTGTGGGGTGGTTAAAAGGGTTTGGATGACCTGGGGGGGCTCTGAGCTTGCTGTGATGTTCCTGTGTTGAGGACAGAGACTGAATCAGGTGGTTCAGGTGTTCTCTTACACATCTGAGGTAAATATTATGATTAATATAATATTGATAATATTATTAAGCTCTTGAATTTCCTAAATTTTGTCACATTGGGTCTGTTTTGCTGCTTCTCCCCCAGCTAGAATCATAAAGGTTGGAAAAAACCTTTAAGCTCATTGAGTCCAGCTGAGTTTTTCCTGTTCCTTTGCTGTTGTTTGGACCAAATTTCCCAAGTCCTCCTCAAATCCTTTCCCATGTTAAATTCCAACAAGGAGAGCTTTGTTTTGTGCTGAAGGTCTCTGTGTCCAGAGGGAAGTTTGACTTGGGCCAGGAATTCCCCACTGTCTTTTTTGGGTCTTGTGACTTTTGCAGCAACTCCACTTAAAATCCTACCTCTATCAAGGAGAAATGAAATCAATTTGGAGCCTTGGAATGAAATAAAAGCCTGGGATGGGAATGCAGGCTGACATGATGAACACAAAAGCTTTCATTAGGCTTTCTCTGGTGGCCGGTTGGGCACCACCAATAAGGAGCTGGTGGTGAGGAGGATTTGGGGTGGCTGACAGAAGAGCAGTCAGGAGCTGGATCAGGGCACAGCAGGGAGAGCATCCTCTGGCAAATGGAGGAAATGGGGCTGTGCAGTGCCTGCTGTGCCTTACAAATCATCCCCAGCTTTGCTGAAAGGAAGGCATGGCCCAGGGGCAGCTTTACCTGGGGCTCCTTATTTGCACACAGGGATGGCTGGGAGGGCCGATTCCAACTCTCAGGAGTGGTTTTGTGGTGCCCTGAGCCCACCTTGTCCTTGGCAGCCTGGTCCTGTGCCCTCCTGCCCTTCAGCAGGGTCACTTCTGGTGGCCTCTGGTGTCCAGTGTTGAAATGGCCTCCAAACCATCAAAGGAATAAAAAGAATCTTGAACACCACCGAGCTGGCAGCGTGGTGGGTGGGACCCTGAGCAAGGCTGGCCTGGTTTGGTGTCAGAGTGAGCTCTTTTTGCATTTACAAGTGGGGTAACTGAGAGGTGTTTTAATAAACTTTTATTCTGTTTTCAGTCTTAGAGAAGGGTGAGACAATACAGATGTTATAATTCGCGTCATTACAATCAAAGCCAACTATTTTTCAATTATAATACCCTATAAGTGTGTATAATCATAATACACTATAATACATTTGTCACAGTTCTGTTTCTCCAAAGTATCCAGTCTTTTTTGCAAAGCCATCCTTTGGAACTTGTTCCTAGTTCCATTTCTCTCTCCACAATGTCTGTCCTGTTCCAGGGCATTTGTAAGTCAGCATTTCTTATCTCAGGGTTTACACACAGATGCACACACTGTGTGAGTCTTCAGTCAGGCTTTGAGAATTCTCTACAAATCCATTTCCCACAGTTTGGGTCTCCCCAGCTCCCACTTTGGCTCTTTTTTAAGAAGATAGGACCCATTAAAATGTTTTTCTTTGAAAAATTTGCTTCACATTCACCTTTCCAACATTTAAATCCCTCCTGGCTGCTCGGGCTCTGCAGGGAACAGTTCAGCCCCCAGGGTGAGGAGTGAGGGGCTGAGGAGCTGCTGTCCAGCCTGGAGGTGTTTTAGGAGCTTCAGTTTTGGTCTAGGTCAGGATTTAACATTCTCAGTTGTCCACCTGCACAAGTGGATTTAGGGATTTTGTGCCAAATGACTCCTGTAGTGATTATAATATAAATACTCAGGGAATCCGAGCAGTGTCACCCTTTGGTGTGCTCCAGTTTGTATAATTAATAGAAAATATAATAAACCAAGTAATAAATCTGTTAGCTTCTTGTTTGTGCTTCCTTTCAGTTTTGTGTATGGAAGATATTCCAAGAGCTGTGTTACTGTAGCTGTGAAAATTGTAGCTAAAAGAGGATTTTGCAACTCCACAAAATCTATTTTTATTGCAATGCTGGACATGTCTAAGGCTTGCTTACAACAAATAATTACAAGTTCACATCTCTGTAATTATTTTTCTTTCAGTTCTCTGCACGTTTTTAGGGAAAACACTGATTTTTTAAAATAAATTTATTTATTCCCCAGGTCCAAGGAGCTAATAAAGGAAGCAATCCTTGACAATGACTTCATGAAGAACCTGGAATTGTCCCAGATCCAGGAGATTGTGGATTGTATGTACCCTGTGGAGTATGGCAAGGACAGCTGCATCATCAAGGAGGGAGATGTGGGTTCCCTGGTCTACGTCATGGAAGGTAGGGTTGGGAAAAATCTTATTTATTCCTTTTTTTTTTTTTAACACTTGGACACAAAATCTTTCGTGGGAAAAATGGTTTCAGAGAAAGAGGTTGTCTAAATATGGTTGCTAAAAAATGGTGTGGACTGCTTTACTGCTTTTGGCTGGAAAATTCTGCCTGGATTTGTGTGCCTGCCTGGCTAAAGAAAGGAGGTGAAAGATGTTAACCCTGCACTGGAATAAACCTCCCCTAAGCAGAGCTGCTGTGCTTGGAGGTGATGGTTTGCTGGGTAAATGAGGATTTTAACAGAAGGAATGGAGATGGGAAGTGGCTGTGGAGCAGGGAGAAGGTGCTCAAAGCCTCCTCCCAGGAGGAAATTTGGGCATTCATTTTTTTTAGCCATTTTTTGCATGGATAAATGAGGATTTTACCGGAAGGAATGGAGATGGGAAGTGGCTGTGGAGCAGGGAGAAGGTGGAAATGCTGGTACAGCACACAGGGCTCTCCACAGTAGCTGTGCTTGGGAGGATGGAAAATGGTGTTGGTGCATCCTGGGCATCTGCTTGGTCCCAGGATGTGCTGGGGTTTCTCATTCAGCTTTGGAAAAATCTTCTAGCAGATGTTGCCATTGCTTTGCCTTTCCAAAATCCCAGCTCCTTGTGCTTGGTGTTGTCTGATTTCCAGGTTGGCTCGCTCTCCACGTGTCAAACTGAGCATATTTTGTGTATATTTGTGCTTTTTACTGTTAAGGAAGTGCATGTCAGAGCTGTCAGAGTTACTGAGCTGGATCAAACCTTGTGTGCATCCAGAGTGGCTGAATGCACTGAATTCTCAGGGAAATATCCCTGTTTTCCTTCCTGCTGTGATTTGCTACCACAATAGATAAAAGCTTATCAAATTCTTCTTGCTCCTCACCAGAACTATCTGGTGGACTCAAACATTTTAGCCAGATAACACCTTTTCACTTGCTCATCTATATTTTAATATCTTCAATTGTTCTTTTAAACAAAAATCTTTCCAAGGCAGTAAGCCATCCTTTAAACAAGCTTTCCTGCCAAATTCCTCATGCTGTATAGTTGCAAATACTCCTCACTGCTTTCCCAAAACAACTTGAAACTTCTGTCCTTTTAAGGTTAAGTCCTTTCTCAAGGCACAGGTTTAATTCCTCTGCTTTTTCATAGTTTTGAGTTTTGCACATTGAAATGGTTTTTCTGTGAATTATGTGTTTCCAAACCCAGGTTTAAGGTTTGCATGGAAAGATTTAAGGTTTGCATGGAAAGATTTAAGGTTTGCATAGAAAGATTTAAGGTTTTCAGTCCTCTGAATACAGAGACTACTTTGAGGTGCACAATCTGTTTTGTTGATGATAAAAAACTGCTTTAAAATCATCCTTGAATGGTATTTTCTTCCTAGTGGAAATGTGGAGGATTTGCCCTGTGCAGTTTTGTGCTCACTCCCCACATTCCTCCCACACCAGAGGTTTGCTCATGGGATTTTTGCTGCCTGGCTGCTTTTGGGATGCTGTGTTCAATGCTGTCCCTTGAAAAAAAACAAACCTAAGAACAGGACATGTTGAAATCTGGGTGTATTTATCTCCTGCTCAGCCTCTTCCCACTCCCTGGAGAGGATTTTGGGGGGATTTAGGGGCAGAACTGTTTCCAGCATGGTTTGGGGTATTGAGCACTGCTTGGTACTCAGGTCACCCTTTACTGCTGGTAGATTTTACCATATTTATGATTATTATTTAGCCTTGTGGTGATGAGTGTGCAACAGATGTGTGTCAAATCCAAATTTTGTATTTTTTGGCACTTGAGGTTTTCCATGTTCTCCTGGCAGCCCTGTGTGTGTGAGGGCACGACTTGGCTCTTCCCTTGGCTTTGTAACTTAATTTAAGAGTATTTAGATAGCTCCCTAAATATGCATAATGCCTTGCAAACCCAATTATGGAGAGTTTATAGTCTGTGTTTGGACATAATGCAATGAGTGATGATGAAGTCATGGAAATGGGAGAGGACATTATCAAATAGGTTATGAGAGCTCATTTTGGTTCATCATTCTGTGTCCTCTCAATCATTAACACAATCAACCCAAATAAAAACTCTGTTCTTTGCAAAATTCTACTGGAGAGACCCATCTTTGAGTCTTACTGAGAGGTGTTTTCTGAAAAATCAAATAAATTCTGTCCTCCTTCCCTTAATTCCTTTTCCATTCCTTACTTGGGTTCTTGCTGTTCTTTGAGCTGGTAGTGACAAAAACCAGAGCTTTGAGTCAGGAGCTGAAGCTGAAATTTCTCAGCAAGCAGAACTCTGAATTTAGAGCTTCTTTGCTTTTAATAGGTCTAATAAGCTTTTTTAAAATTTATTTTTTAAATTTGTTTTTGTATTCTGGAGTGACTTTAGCCACAGTCTGTGTCTTGCTGGCCAAATTCCCACCTTTAGGGGTAGGAGGGCTCCTGGTTCAGGCTTTCAGGTGCTGGCCCCACCACATCCTATTCTTTAAAACATTTTATTTCTCTGGCTTCACCCTGCCTGTGCTGTTCCTTCAGCCCTCTGAGAACACCCCTTGATTCCCTTTTGTTCAAAAAGTAGCAAGAAGCCCCCTCAACTTTTTCTTATTAACTGAAATGGGTCAAGAGATGCCCTAAACCTTGAGCAACACCAAAAAATTTCCCTTACAGCTGTGCTTTGAAGGTGGGAGTGAATGTATTTGTGATGTGACAAGTCCCCATCAGGGGCTGAAATTGCTGGCAGCATCAAATATCCCTGCAGTGCCCACCTCCAGCAGGAATATTCCCCCAGGCTGTGAGACTGGGAATGAGAAAAGGGGCATCAGTGATGCTCTGCCTTGAACTGCTCCACACTGGAACTCTCAGCTCTGCAGGGAAAACAATTGTGAGAGAAAAATAATTTTATTTATTGGATATATTCCCTTTCCTGGGAGAAAGTTTGCTGCTCTGAGAGGGGGTCAAATGGAGAGTTCTCAGAGCCAAAAAAAGTTCTTGTAAATTGACCATAAAGGAGTCTGCTACCTCCATTTTTTTTTTTTTTTCTTTAAGGGAAAAAAACCCTAAACATTTCCCTGGATGTGTTTATAAAAAGACTGCATGTAGCACTGGGTGCCATGGTTTAATTGAGGTGCAAGTGTTGGGTTGGACTCCATGATCTTCAAGTTCTCTTGCAACCCAGTGATTGTGTGAATTCCGTGAATTTTCCAAGTGATGCTTTTGTAGCTTTGCCTTTGCTGACTTTGCAACATTCCTAACATTTTGCTGAAAGCCCTTAAAAACCTGGCAGGCTGAGGAGGTGTTTTCAGAGAGCTCCACCTCAGATCTGGGCTGTGCTGACAGGCTGGGGCCGTGCGTGGGTGCTGCCTCACACTGATGAGGATAAATGGGAAATCTCACCTCCGACCCTAAATGTTTCCTCTGGCTGAGCCACCCAGCTGCAGGCTGTCAGCTTGGATTAGGGCAGGAAGAGCCTGTGCAGAAATCAGGTGGCAAGATCCAGGTTTGAGGCTCTCCTGTGAAGAAACAGCTATTTTTATAAAAAAAATTAGAATAGATTTTTTTTAGGTTTTTTAGAAATTTTAGTCATAGGTGTAAAGAGTCCCCTTCCTTTAGGGTTGGTGCCATTCCCACAAAGCATGGAAGAAATAATTCAGTGACACAGGGGAAAGGGGAATTCCTTGGATGAACTCTTTTGTGGCTCATGGTTTTGTAGGCTGTCAGGTTGGATTAGGGCAGGAAGATCCTGTGCAGAAATCAGGTGGCAAGATCCAGGTTTGAGGCTCTCCTGTGAAGAAACAGCTATTTTTATAAAAAAAAATAGAATAGAATAGATTTTTTTTAGGTTTTTTTAGAAATTTTAGTCATAGGTGTGAAGAGTCCTCCCTTTAGGGTTGGTGCCATTCCCATGAAGCACATAAGAAATAATTCAGTGACACAGGGGGAAAGGGGAATTCCTTGGATGAACTCTTTTGTGGCTCATGGTTTTGTAGGCTGTCAGCTTGGATTAGGGCAGGAAGATCCTGTGCAGAAATCAGGTGGCAAGGTCCAGGTTTGAGGCTCTCCTGTGAATAAACAGCTATTTTTAGAATAGAATAGAATTTTTTTTAGGTTTTTTAGAAATTTTAGTCATAAAGAGTCCCCTTCCTTTAGGGTTGGTGCCATTCCCACAAAGCATGGAAGAAATAATTCAGTGACACAGGGGGAAAGGGGAATTCCTTGGATGAACTCTTTTGTGGCTCATGGTTTTGTAGGCTGTCAGCTTGGATTAGGGCAGGAAGATCCTGTGCAGAAATCAGGTGGCAAGGTCCAGGTTTGAGGCTCTCCTGTGAAGAAACAGCTATTTTTAGAATAGAATAGATTTTTTTTAGGTTTTTTAGAAATTTTAGTCATAGGTGTGAAGAGTGAGTCCCCTCCCTTTAGGGTTGGTGCCATTCCCATGAAGCACATAAGAAATAATTCAGTGACACAGGGGGAAAGGGGAATTCCTTGGATGAACTCTTTTGTGGCTCATGGTTTTGTAGGCTGTCAGGTTGGATTAGGGCAGGAAGATCCTGTGCAGAAATCAGGTGGCAAGGTCCAGGTTTGAGGCGCTCCTGTGAAGAAACAGCTATTTTTATAAAAAAATTAGAATAGAATAGAGTTTTTTTTAGGTTTTTTAGAAATTTTAGTCATAGGTGTGAAGAGTCCTCCCTTTAGGGTTGGTGCCAGTCCCATGAAGCATGGATAATTCAGTGACACAGGGGGAAAGGGGAATTCCTTGGATGAACTCTTTTGTGGCTCATGGTCAGTGGGTGCTGCACCTGAATTCTGAGGCTCTGCACACACCTGGAGAACCTGAGGGAAGAAAAATCCTCTGTGTGCTCCTGCTCCTACAGTCATGGAGAGGGAAGAAGCAGCTTTTTGAGACCAACCCCTGTTTTAGTAATTCTTCCTCTCCTCTTAAATTTCCTTTTATTTGTGTCTTCAGTTGTGTGGATTTATCTTTTATTTTTAAAGGTGACTTTGTCTCTTG